TTAGAAAATCATATTTTCAATGATCAATCTTGAACTATAAACTGAACCAGATCTGAACAAAAGTAGTGGGAGAGAATTATACTTGATACGGAGAAGTAATATCTCCCAATGGAGATGTTCACGCCCAAGGAAGGATCCAAAGACTGCTCCCACTGAAGATGGCGCAGTGCAGGATGGAGCAGAATCAGCAGTGTTCTTTCTCCAAGAACATATTCCTTCGCAAGAAATAGTAGGATGGCATGTGAGCACAGCTTCTTGTCAATCCTTCTACAAAGAACTGATGTCAAGATCAAATCTTGACTTCTCCCACAACTGGAGATCGAACTGGCAAGGTAGGCGGCAAGAAAGAATTCTACAAGGTTGCTTAATTCTTCCTTCTGTGATTTCAACTCTGAAAATGATGTGAGTATGTCTCTGCTAAAGGTTGTCGCCCCTTCTTTCTTTTGTAACCCTAAAGGATCAGCTCCTAATCCAATTAGGAGTTGCTGATCCAAATATGATTTGGATCAGACATCCATTTAGGTGATAAGGATAAACCCTTATCTTATCTGCATATTAGATCAGCCTTCTCCTAATCTCATTAGAAGGTTTCTAGATCCGAATCACATTCAGATCTGGACTCTCTGAGTGGATAGGGTTAAGACCCTATCCTATCTGCTAATCCATCTCAGAATTCGCCTCATATTTAACTCATTAAATTAGCCCAATTCGAAATGGGCTTAAGGCCCATTAAGGTTATGTACTCACTTAGTCTTCCTATCTGCTGCCCAGTTGGGCTTCCTTGTATGGCGTGGAACCCAAGCAGTGATCTACACATCAGCAACATGGGTTCGGCCCAGCCTTTGTTACAAGGTCTGGTCGAGTACACTGTTATGTGCAGTGCACCCCCTGAAACCCATCAAATGGGCTCTATGGGCCCAACACTTACCCTAAGTGGTCCCTGGGCCAAGCCACCTTGTAACACCCAAGGACTRTGGRYAGATGCAAGATTAGCCCATCAGGTATTACCCTCAATGGTCTTACACTCAACCTCTCAGCCCATAATGATCATACACTACCCGATAAGAGAGAACATCTCCCTTGGCTGCAAGGAACAGTGTTGCACTCTCTACTTATATGGATCCCAGGAATTAAAACATTTTGCAAACATTTTAGAAACCATAATATATACTTTTATATCTCATATAAAATATACTTTGCAAAACAAATCTCAACGATTGAAATCGGCTGTCGACAATCTTGGTTTCCATCAGTGAGAGTGCATCATCGATTATTACCTTTGTCCGACAAATGGCCTGATCCTGTCACTATGATCACCCACTCAGATGAATTTTCAGACTGTCCCAACATACCCAGGTTTTGACCCCCGCTAAGGATCTCACTGATTAGTACATCAAAGACAGCCCAATCCGACACCTACTGTAGTATCATAATCGAGTCTAGGGGTCAGGTGTAACTTTCCAGTTTTGCCCATTAATCTACAAAGTCTGGGGCAATACTGGAAATATGGTCCAGTTCAAAGATTCAATTAATCCTACACTGCATGTGCCTAGGGTCTCACCCTAGCAGCTGAGACAGGCCACCCCAACTGACTTGGTGGCACATCAGTGTCAGCCTTATCAGGATAGGTCTCCCCAGACCGACCCACTGGCTGTGAACATTCTAAACTAACACGAGTCTCATTAAGTGTCCAGTTTAAGGGTATTACACAGAAACATACCAAGGGAACATGAATCAAATATATACTTTTATTCATTTACAATAAACTCATAATGTACATCATTCTGATTGAAGCTAAGGGCATACAAAACTGTCTAACAAAGTAAATGAACAAGTTGGGTAGGTTGGGTGGGTTCAACGGGTTGGGTGTTAAATTGCCACCCCTACTAGAAACCTATATTTTCACTAGAAGCATTGATAAAATAGTTTGTACCTCTAACATAAATGGGAAGTTTTCAACTAAAAAATAATTAAATATTACCTTTATGAGTAGGGGAATCTAGTGGGGGAATAGAACTCAACTCTATCTCAAAAACTAAAAAGAAAAAGTGTGGAAGTTAAGTCCCCTCGATGTTAAAAAACTTTCCTGTGGAAAACCCTCAAAGGTTTCGTCCTACAAAGATGACTTGCTTTCCAATGGTTCATGTAGATAATTGTTCGATCTGCCAGGATAATCAAGAATCTCTTTTCCATTTATGTATATCCTACCCCCTTTCTTGAGTTATTTGGTTGTTAGTAATTAATTTTTTTATCAAATTTTGGTTCATTTGTCTTCTTTGCATCAAGTTTTTTATCTTGTGTTTTCTGGTGTCTTAAGTGCTTCTCAACTGACTAGTCTGATAGGCTAGATCTCGGTGGCCTAGTATCACATTTGGTAGGGCAGGAGTGGGAAAATTTTTGAAAATATGGACCTCAACCCTTAAAGACTTATCAAACAAATAAATAAAATTCTGCAATCTAATATTCCACTTTTAAATGAATCCGTTGATATTTGTCGTGAACAAAGAATTGATTTGATTCCTTTAATGGAAACAAGAGCTTATTTGATTCAATGTGATGGCAGTGTGTTGAAGGATGAAATTGGTTTTCTCTTATTTTTATGTTCACGACGGTAACAAATTCGTTTGTGGTGGCTGCAAGGAGTAGTTTAGGAGTTATTAGTACTCTTGAAGCTAAGTTGGGTGCAATCCGGAAAGCCCTTCTTTTTTCTATGGCCCAAGGATGGAAGGATCTGGTAGTTATTTCAGACTCCAAGGTGGCGATTGAAGGATGTGTGGGAAGTTCATTTGATTTTTGTTGGCTTGGCTAAGAAAATTTAGACATATCCTGAATATTCTTAAAAACTTTTCCTCAATTAAATTTGTATATAAAAATAGACAAGCTAGGATGGCTGCCCACATTTTGGTTCATAGGGAAAAATCTTTCTTCTAGCACTAGTAAGTGCATATGTACTTTGCATGTTGCATTTTGTTGTGATGATGATGACGGTGAATAATGTTTCCAAAATTTTCTATAACTTTTTTATATTTATTTTCTATCTCTATATAAACCATTCTTATTTGTAACACTTATTTTTGTTTAATATGATAGATATATATAGTATTAGAGATGTGTCCATATTTTTTGTATTTTTTATACTTTTGTGTACTTTTTCATCTTTTAGTTTTTATTATTATTTAACAATAACATTAAGGATTTATACATTTTAACCTAAAAGGTTGAATTGTTGACTCATCATCAGATAGAAAAACAATTCCATTTTTGGGTTAGTTTTAAATTGTATTTTATTTATATATCAATAAAGAATAATTATTATTTGTCACATTATTTTTCTTTAATATAGTTAATTAATGTAGGATTCAATGAAAGAATGAGAGTTAATACTCTAAATATAAGACTTAATGAGATAAAATTGAATAAGGAAAAATGTAATAATTCAAATTACATTTTGAGTATTCACAATTACAAAAGGACCAAATTCAAAAATAGGAATATTCTAGTCAAGAATAAAATTAAATGAATGATAATGGGTGATAATACTTAAGACTTAATGAGAAGGATTTGAATAAGGAGCAAATTTAGAATTAGAATGTTTTAGTCAAATAAAAATCACCCTCTCATTTACATTTATAATAGTAGTATAGATGTAAAGAAAATTATAACCTCTAATTTACTATATTCTTCCATTCGTTTTCTTTTTTTTTTTTTTGGTTTCATAGGCTACAGAACTGGCAGGGAGGGGGGTAGCTCTTCCCCCAAAATCCACAACCCTAGTCTATAACCAGCTAGAGACCTTACTGAGCCAGTTGGCACATGGCACCTTCATTATTACATTCGTCTAGATGATTCTTCGCTGTAGTGAAATCATAGGGGTGTAAATTACATATAGGTACCCTATACTTTGGGGCTAGTGACAAATAGGTACCTTAAACCTTCAAATGCGACATTTGAGCCCCTTGAACTAGGGTATCTATTCCCAAGAGTTCAAGGTACTCAATGTTGCATTTGAAGGTTCAAGCTACACAAGGATTTCAAAAATAAGAACCTGAGAATGAAGATCTCAAAACTACGATTTCATAGTGGAGAAAGGGCAATATGGGTTCAAAAATAAGAAAAATTAAACCCGAGAATGAAACCCCTTCTCTTCTTTGTTGATTGATCCGCATTTGCTATAAATCAGGCTTGAGAATGAAATCTAAGAAGAAAAATAAGGATTTCAAAATAAACAGTATTTCTGGAAGTTCAGGATACTCAAATGTTGCATTTGAAAGTTCAGGGTACCCATCTATCACTACCTCTAAAAATACAGGATACCTATCTGTAATTTACCCGTTTTTGGCATAGTACCATAGTAGCTGTTCAATTTCCACTACTGGTTAATTATTGAAAATATAAAATTCCAATACTCATTGCTGGATGGCAAATATATGGACAAATTTGAGGGCACTAAATACACGATGGTATTTCCCTGCAAGCAAAACTCTGCATACACTCTAAAAGCATGAGAATCCGGTCACACATTGGGAACATCTTCTCCTAAATTTAACAGACATGTATAGGAGATATTCCCAATGAACAGAAACTTTCTTTTAGTACCAGGTTTCACATCGCAGTAGGTAGAAAGAATGGAAGTTCCACCCTTCAGCAAGGGACTTTATTAGTCCCAATAAACAAAGTATGTAAAAACTCCATAAAAAAATCACCAAATGATAACTTGGGTAAATGACTGTGATCAAGAAAGATAGAATGAAGACGACACCTCTGCCATCAATGACTGGGAAAGTACTGGGTAAAATTAATAAACATTGCAAACCATGCAGTGTTACATGGATTCTTTTACAAACAGCTAATTTAACGAATGCTATTTTTCCTACAAATCACTACCAATTAGCAAGAAAGACGAGCTTTTAGAACTTTTCCCATAGAGATATAAAATCAAAATATATAGATTAATTTAATGCAAATCCTGTTTTTCCATCAAATTCTAACTCCCGTTTCCATGTCCATGCAAATTAGTTTCATGGTCAATACTCATTCCACATACAGAAAAATGATACAATGTTCCCTGATAAGTTACCTCATGTAACTGTAATTAATATGTTACAACTCCGTAAAGAAGCAATATGAAAAGGACAAACATGTATTCAAGAAAAGGGCAGGTAAAGAAAAAGGGAAAACAGAACTATCAAATACAAGATCAAAGATTAATATACTCTATCACCGTCAAGCCACACAAGGCTAGGAAGAATGTGTGTCAGAAATAAGTTAAACTTCTCGTCAACTATTGCATTCCCTACTACATCTAATTGAGTCAAGTACAGGCCCTTAAAAATGACAGCCGCTTCCCAATAGTTCATTTTGACACCATCTGTGACGTATGCATCAATATTCCAATCGTCACCTACTGTATGAGACAAAGGAGAAGAGAACAAATACCTTGAGGTGTCAATAGAGTGTGCACCGATCTCATTGTAGGATATATTTAGCACCTTTAAAGACTTGAGAAGTTTCAGAGGCTCCAGTGCAGTAAAACTACGAAGTTTATTGTTGCTTAGATTCAAGCAAGATAGAAGTTGCATTGCCTCCAAACCTGTTACAAAAAAACACCATTAACTAGTCCACATTTGTCTCCTTTCTGTTAACAAAATTCAAACTCTCAACAAGTACTAGGTCAAAAGGATACTATAAATTTAACATTCCAGTCATAGGGTCAACAGATGTCTTCATCTAACAAGACAAGTGATTGTGCATGAAGACTATGAAATCTCATCAAGGAATTGCCAACTAAACAAGAAACAATGTGTAGATGCATCTACTTCCCACTTTTTACTTGGTGAACCTAAACCTCAACCCATAAATCCAGTGTAAACAAAACAATTACACTAGATAGTCATTTTTTTATAAGCAACAGAACTAGTAATGTTATTTATTCATTCATTCATTCATTTATTTATTGACCAATTAACCATGAATTTTATTAATGAGAAAAGGAGAATACAAGTACAAACAGCAGTTTTATTAAGAGCAAAAGAAAATAACAATACAAAGTGAAGACAAAGTAACAAAAATACAATAACTTCCATCTGTGACCTGGTTACCAGATAGCCATATTTAATACAATAAGGACTAAAACCTTAAAATGTTAAGAGTTTTGGGTCACTATTGTAGGTTTCCATTTGTTTCTGATCAAAACAAAAAATTGCAGGTTTCCCATTGCCATGGAGGTTTAAGACATGCAATGCAAGCAAATGCCAAAGTGTTGTAATTTATTGAGTGTTTCATCAGATGACCAATAGATCCTTTTATATACCCAATAATCAAATAGAGAGGATTGGTGGAGAAAGTTGATTGCAAACAAACATGGTGTTTCTAGAGGTAACTGGACCTCAGGATCCCTTGCCTTGGGGTTCTCAGTGTGGAAAGGCATTATGAAGTCAAGCTCTTCCTGAAAGGGGTTTCCTACAAAGTGGGAATTGGGAAATGGGGACCAACTTCGGTTTTGGAAGGGCAGATGATGCAGGGCAAAGGTCTCTAAGGGAGCTGTTCCCTCAGTTGTACTTGCTGGCATGCTTGATCATCTCAAGCTGCTTAGAAGGTGTTTCGTTGGATGTTTTGTTAAACCTGATCCAGATGTGGAAGATGTGTGGACTTGGGTTTCTTTCTTTCAGGTGAGGAAAATCAATGTCGACTTCTTTAAGCAGTGAGGAGGAAGGTCTGGATATTCTTAATTGTTAACAAAATCGAATACAATGCCCAGAACTAGGTTGGGGAGATGGAATCCTCCAGTTGGGGCTGTAAGAAACTTGGGACCCTGAAGTTTGATGTGGATAAAGATTTACGGTATTCCTTTACATGCCCGAAGTTTCCAAATGTTTAGGGCTGTTGGGGATTAATGTGGAAGATTTCTGGTTCGTCGACTCAAAAACAAATTCCTGGAAGAACATTGTCACTGCACGCATTCTAGTTGAGGTGAAGAAAATTCCTCTGGTGCCAGCGTCCTTGTTGCTTCATTTTGGTGGAGAACTCTGTGTGGTTGAAAGGACATATCCACGTAGATGGCTCAAAATCTGGCTTTGCAGGACGAGAGTAGTAAGTTTCTTCCATCAGCTGGTTTGAACAATTGGAGGTTGAACAGGCTCTTAGTAGAGGAAGATGTTGAGGTGGAAGGTGAGGGTACTTTTGGAAATAAAAAAAGAATTTGTTGATAGTGGGACAGTTTGTTGGGACTGATCAAAAAATGAGATGGTGAGGAGGTGAAGAGTTGCGATATGGGGAAGAGTCATTCGAAGATTTTAAGCTCAAGATACATGGAAGCCCAGGGTGAGAGGATTTTGGAAATTGGAAAAGGTTGCTTTTTTGGAAAAAAAAATGAAGAGGCAGGTTGGGCCTGCAAATAAGGTAGTGGCTTAAGTGGGGACCACTTTTTAAAGTCCAAAGATGGCCTTAACTCCAGACCTCCAGACCTCTTTTTGTTCCAACAGGTTAAGGGTTTCTAATAGGAGAGATTTCAAACTTACGCGACCAAAAGTTTCCAAAGGGGTGGAGACTTTGAATAAATCTGACATGTTTAAGAGGAGAAAAGGAAAAGTTGTCAACTGGGTATGGGTGATTAATAAATAAAAGAGGTCTGGAGTTAAGAAGACTGCTGCAAAGTTTGGGGAATTTAAGGTCAAGAACAAGATTGGTTGAGTTGATGGTTCTGTTGAACGCTCTCCTAGTTCGTGTGGTCAAGATGAGTCTGGTTCTGATTTGTCCATCATTGTGTCTGATCAAAAGACATCTGAAGAGGTGCCAGTCCGGATGGGAGGCTACGATTTGGTTGTGCCCCCTGACCATGGCGCAGGGATGGTTGCTGAAGAGGTGGTGGTTGGGATGGAGGAGAGAGTAGTTAGTTCAGAAGAAAATGTGGGAAAAGGTGGAGATTCTGAAGAGGTGGTTTGAAAGAGACATAGAGGTTGGCTTGGAAGGGGTTTGCTTTCACTAAGATTGAGGAAGTAATGATTGGCAAGATAAGAGTTGACTTGGGTCATATAAGGAAAGTAGTGGAGGATAAGGTGGTTGTAATTGGTACTAATGTATCAGATACTAAGAAGTCTTGTGCTTCAAATAGTACTCATATAGAGCATGTGACCTAAGTTTTCTCAAAGTTGAAATATGGTTTAGTGGGGGAAGATCCTACAAATAGGTATAAAAGGATTTTCAAGAGAAGGGGAAGGAAGTCAAAGGTGCTGATACCTGAGGCGAATTGTAGGGTGGATTAAGTCTCATCTGAAGAGAAAATTCAGTCAGGGATCTACGTCTCAGAGGAGGAAAAGAGGAGGATGAGTTTACTTCTGAGGCACAGGATTCGTCTTCAGGAGGTAAGGTGGTGAGGCATGGAATTTTGCCTATTGAAGATTTTTCAGAGATGTAGAGGTGGATAAGGGGCTTAGGCTGTTTTTTTGGGGAGAGGAGTTTGCTAGAAGAGATTTTGAGTTTGAAAAAGTAGGTGAATATGGACAAAAGAAAGTCATAGTGGGTGAATATGGACAAATTTGGGACAAGGACGATCCAGGGAAGATGTGTTTGAGGGGAGGGGGGATTAAGGTGGTTGAATGGTGATGGAGATGGGAGAACAGTGGATTTTTTTTTTTTTTTGAAGAGTAAAGAATAAATTTCATTAAAAAAGAAAGTAATTACAAGCTGAATGGGTGTGAAGATGACTCGCCAGAAAAGCTAATTAAGATGAAAAAGATTCATTTTACAAGCTTGAATCTCAAGAACATCCCAAAAGTTTTTCACCAAATCTGAGCTGTTGGCTTGCTCAAATTCTGGAAGAACCAAAAACCCAGTTTATTACAAGCTTTCAAACGGAAGCAACTATCACTTCAACACCCTGCGATTTGTTCTCAAAAAGCCTTCTATTCCTTTCATTCCATACTGTCTAGCAAATTTCAAAGGATATACAATTCCAAATGATTCTAGGTTTCTTGCTCCCTCAAAAGCTTGGCCAAGAGGAAAAAAAAAACTACTGGTGAATAAGGCTGGAAGACCAGAACACCAAAAAGGAATGAGTAGAATTTCCAGATGAAATTTGCCACTTTGCAAGAGAAGAACAATGTGACAAACTGTCACCTCCTCCATCTACATAAGCAACAGTAATTAGCCATGCTAAATCCCCTGCTCTTCAAATGATCTGTAGTTAGGATGCTATCCAAAGCAACCAGCCAAGCAAATGCTCCACTCTTGGGGGAACCGGATTCTGATAGATCCCAGTCAAAGCTAGAGAGAGATAGAGTATTATGCTTAGGGCGAGAGTAGACCACAAGAGGTTTATTAACTTTCAACTGCCCCATCCATGTGATGGGGTGGTGTTTAAATACACAAACTTCTTAACTTCCTACCACTGAAATAGCCTTAAAGTAAGGGATTAGCCTTCTAACTACATGGTCGATCCCTATGCCTTCTCATGCTAACAACTTAACAGAAATAACAATTAACTCATTTGACTCAATCTTGCTTAAGACCAGCTAACAACAGGCTTAAGACTAGCTAACAATTAACAACTAACTGCTTGACTGATTCTTGTGGCTTGATCGAATCCTTCTCTACTGGGTCCTACTCTATTGGGCCGTTGCATGGGCCATGCATGGTGGGCTGTTTTGCATGGGCCATGCATGAGCATTTCCAGTCCACGTACCTTGGGTTACGCGTGGGTACCCTGTTCGATCTTCTCGGCCCATCATTGCCCCCATCCTGAAGATGGACCTTGTCCTCAAGGTCCAGATTGATATACTTCTCGCGCAACTCTTGGGAATTCTCCCATGTGGCATCTTCGCTAGGAAGGTTCTTCCATTGGACAAGACTTTCCTCCACGAAGGTGGATCCTTTCTTCACCTAGCGGGTATCCAGAATAGCTGTCGGTTCAGTGATGAGTTCTCCCTCCTCGTTTATGGGTGGTAAGTCGGTGCTAGTGGCAGTGGTGTCGCCCACCTGTTTTTTTAGGGAGACGTGGAAAACTGGATGGATGCGCGAGTCCTCGGGTAGTTGCAGTTTATAAGCCACCTTGCCTATGTGTTCCTCCACTAGGTACGGCCCATAATAGAGACTGGCCAGTTTGTGATAGGCCTGCCTATGAACCGTCTGCTGTCGGTATGGGTGGAGCTTGAGAAAGACCAGATCGCCCACTTGGAACTCGACGTGTCTTCTTTTGGCGTTAGCCATTTGGGTCATGTGGTTAATGGCCGCATGCAGGTTTACTTTGAGTTGCTGCAAAATGGCATCGCAAGAGAGCATGGCTTGATCTACTTCTTCTACTGGAGATGTTCCACCTTGGTAATTTGGAATACGAGGTGGTGGTCTTCCATACAATGCTTGAAAGGGCGTCATTCCGATAGAGGAATGATAGGTGGTGTTATACCAAAATTCTGCCCATGGAAGGAAGGAGCTCCACTTCCGAGGTTGCTGAAAAACAAAGCAACGAAGATACTGCTCTAGACAACGGTTGACCACTTCTGACTGTTCATCAATCTGGGGATGATAGGTGGAGCTCATTTGCAATTTGGTACCAGACATCTTAAAGAACTCCCTCCAAAAGTGGCTGATGAAGAT